ATAGAGTGGCATAAAGAATACTAGATTTAGAGCTAGATAATCTTAGTTTAAATCCCAGTTCTGCTATATCCCAGGTAGCTGTGCCCATGTGCAAATTACTTTGGCTCTGGATGTTAATTTTTTCATTTATAAAATTAGGTGACTTCTAAGGTTCTTCCTAGTACTAAGTTCTATCATTTTCTGACTTGATAAGATGAAAGGGTAAAGATTTTCAAAGTCACAGCTTTGGCCCAGGACTTCTCTGAAGTTCTATCATTTTCTGACTTGATAAGATGAAAGGGTAAAGATTTTCAAAGTCACAGCTTTGGCCCAGGACTTCTCTGAAGTTCTATCATTTTCTGACTTGATAAGATGAAAGGGTAAAGATTTCCAAAGTCACAGCTTTGGCCCAGGACTTCTCTGAAGTTCAGTTCTCCTGTCTCTGTGCTACCTAGCTTTTTGCCCTCCTTGCCATTACTTTCACATCTTATCCCTCTTCTGTTCTGTTTATAGCCCGAAGATCTTCCAGAAGACAAAGTGCAGTATCTGCACCAGTGCCCTGGAGCTGCCCTCCGTCCACTTTTTGTGTGGCCATTCATTCCACCAACACTGTTTTGAGAGCTACTCAGAAAGTGACGCTGACTGCCCCACCTGCCTCCCTGAGAATCGCAAGGTTATGGACATGATCCGGTCCCAGGAGCAAAAGCGAGATTTGCATGATCAATTTCAACATCAGGTAGGGATGGCAGAGAGGAGCTGGGTAAGACCCCCAGCAGATGAGCAGGAATCCTGTAGGGCGCACTGGCGGGCATCGCATCTCCCCTTGGGGTCTGAGGTGTTGGTGGGGAGGGTAGGAGTGGAGCAGCCACGTGCACAAGCAAGCTTTCCCTGTCCTGTTCCAACTGGGCTCTCTCTCTGTTGCCTGCCAGCTCAAGTACTCCAATGACAGCTTCTCTGTTATTGCTGACTATTTTGGACGTGGTGTCTTCAACAAGTTGACCCTGCTGACTGATCCACCTGCGGGCAGAGTGGGCACCAGCCTGGAGGCTGGCCTGCAGCGAGACCTGCTCATGCACTCCAAGCGGGGTACCTGAGGACACGTTGATCAGAGGAATGACATCAGAAGGCAGATCAAGCGTGGAGATAGGAGGATACAAATAAGGAGAGGCTTCACGGACTAATTCTATGAACAAAGATGCTTCCTCAGTGGGAGGTCCCAATGAACAGTTTGGAGAGCAACTGCCCCTCCCCCCCATCTCTGACTTCATAATGCTTAGAAGTGGAGATTTGTTTTCTCTCTGTCTCCTTTGCCCTTCCATAGCCTGCCCCTTCCTAGTGCTGACTGCTGCCAGCAGAGAAGGATGTCCTTCTGGTAATCCCATCAGAGCAAGGGAAGCCACCCAAGTAAGCTCTCTGCATATCTGGACCATAGCTGCTTTCCTCTTTGCCCAGAGCACCAGTTTCTTCTTGAGTCCAAGCATCCAGTTTGTAAATAAAAAGACAGGACACTTTTGGAGGGAAGATGACTTATCTGAGGCCTTCCTGGCCTTTCCTGATGTGCCCGCCCAGTGTACTCCATGTCCCACCTCTTGCAGCCACATCTTTCCCCAGAGATAGTCTTGAAGGGTATGGTGCTACTCTACCTCATTCCTGTACATGATGGGGCTCTTGGCTTCTTAAACAAGGTGAAGTGAGACATCCGTAGCTTGAAGTCCAGGGGTGTCCAGAAACTTGCATCCAAGACAACTTTTACTCTGTCCCTCTGCAAATATTTTAGGCATCATTCCCATGGGGATCCTCAGGGACTGAGGTTGTGGCAAGGGGGCTAGGTAGGAGATATTGTCTTGGCTGTACGCTGAATTAGAAAGGAAGGGGAAGCATAGAGAATAAATGATTCTTTAAAGACTCTAAAACCCCTCTTTGAAAGAGTCAGTTTAAGTTTGTGTTACTGTATGAAAATCAAGCTGCTATTATCTCATCCTATCAGTATCAACAAAGCTGTGGATGAGTTGCATTTAGGTTATCAGCATGTGCTGGTTTTGGGGGTGGGGTGCATTGTAGTATAGGAGAGGGAATAACTATCCTGAAAGTCATTAGACTGGAATTTTAGGCAGGCTCCACCACTTTACTGGCCTGCTTATGCACTGTCAAAGTAGATGGAGCACTGGAGCTGAACTTAGGAAGACCTAGGTTAAAATCTGGCCTTGTACATTCACTAGCTGTGACAGGGCAAGTCACAACCTCCATCTGCTTCATGAACTATAAAATGGAGATAATAGCACCTGCCCCCTAGGGTTGTTGTGAGGATCAAACGAGATGTTTTTAAAGCACTTAGAACAGTGCCTGGCATGTGATAGTCGATTAATAAATTGTTTTCCCCGACCTTTGTTTCCTTCTTTCCTCTTTCCCTCCCGCTCACCTTGGACAAATCATCTACCCTTAAAGCGGTATAATGTAATAGAAAGACCCTTGGAGTAGTCAAGAAATTTATTGCCAGAGACTTTGGGCATCATTTTTTTCCTTTGTAAAAAACTTGGATAATTATCCTTCACAAGTGTTTTGCTTCATCCTTTGTACTTGTATCCCTGCTGCCTAATAATAATAATAAGCATTTAATAAATGATTGATTACTAATTCTTCACTACAAAATTAAGTGGTTATCTAGCTTTTCCTTGGCCTCTAAGGAGAGGAAATTCACTGTTTCTCCAGGCTGCATGAATCTTTTTTTTTCTTTTTTTTTTTTGGCTAGGCAATGGGGTTAAGTGACTTGCCCAGGGTCACACAGCTAGTAAGTGTTATGTGTCTGAGTCTGGATGTGAACTCAGGTCCTCCTGAATCCAGGGCCGGTGCTCTATCCGCTGTACCACCTAGTTGCCTCCAGGTTGCATGAATCTTTAAGGAGTTTTTTTTCATATTCTGTAAAAATGTGTGATTCCCACTCGTTGTTCCTAGTTTTTATTTTTTTAATTTTTATTAATTTATTTTGATTTATCAACAATCACTTCCATATGATCCTGAGTTTAAAATTTTTCTTCCCCTTCCTCCCCATCACCCTCCCCAAGATGGCGCACAATCTGATATAGGCTATACATATACATTCCCATTAAACATTCCTTAACATTAGTGATGTTGCAAGTAAGAATTAAAACCAATAGGGGGAACCCCCAGAAAGAGGAAACAAAACTCAACAGAAGAGAAAAAAAACAGCAAATAGTATGCTTCGATCTGCATTCAAACTCCATAGTTCTTTCTTTGGATGTGGATAGCATTTTCCATCATTAAGCCTTTGGAGATGTCTTGGATCCTTGTATTGCTGGGAAGGGTTAAGTTTATCAATATTAGTCATCACACAATGTGGCTGTTACTGTGTACCATGTTCTCCTGGTTCTGCTCACTTCACTTAGCATCAGATCATACAAGTCTTTTTAGGTTTTTCTGAAGTCAGCGTGTTCATCATTTCTTATGGCACAGT